AACTACATTTGTTTGGCGTTAATAGGTAATGCGATGTACCTCCTTTCGATTGCTTTTGAGAAGGGTATGTAACAGCCCTTTCCAACGATGTCATCACGTTTTGATCGTTTTTGAGAAGGGTACGTAACAGCCCTTTCTAACGCAAAAGATTCATACACTCAGATCATAAAGATATGATGCAATCGGAGATTTATCATTTTCAAGGCGAGGATATGACATCTCTTATGATCATGGCGCTGGAAAACAAATAAATATGGATCAAGTTACTTTACCAGAACCATCCAGAAAGAGACCTACTATAGGTCGTACTCCAACCATGGTAAAAAAAAAGTACGGCGTCTTGTAACAGTTGAGAAGCCATGAACGCAAGGATTGCACAAATCTCTTCAATGATATATCCATTAAACAATTGCATACCTCAAGTAGCTGGCGAATAAAAAGAGTATTTATGCTATTCCATACTGGTCAAGTCACCAGATGCAGCAACTGTGGATTTCTGTGCCATCAGAAAGTTGAAAGGGGCGCTAAGAAACCGTCGTCTTCGTAAAATAGACGGCTTATGGAAAGCCTGTAGGGAGGAGGGGTGTGTGCTTTTGGCATGACAGCCTTATGCAATGGAAACTATGCTGCAGAGCTTTTGTTAAAATACACTACCATCAAATAGAGCATGAGTGGGCGTCTAAACATAGACAGTAAAGTTGTGGTAAGACTCCAAAATCTTGATATAACTATTTTCATGTTATATTACAAAACAAACTAAAACAATAAAAACTGGTACAGCTACTTCGCCATGAGAATTATAATATGCTATATTGTTCCGTACCTGATGCTGTTGATTTTTTTTGGGGGGGGGGACTTAACAGACGATTTAGACATTTGAGAGGGAAAATTGGTGGTTTATTGGAGTTTACAGAAGTATTTACTTATTAAACTTCTACAAGTCCGCAGAAAAACTTTCAAAAGTTTTATTTCTTCGATGTATTAAAACAAACTATCTGAACATGTAATGATGTATTTCGGAGGGGTGGGGTATACATAAATAATTAACGTGTAATAACTCTCTTGTTTCAAGATAATTCAACTCAACCGTAAAACTTGACAGTCTACTTCTTCGATGTATCAAAACATATAACTTGTTCTATAATGATAAGGACTGGATCTAGTATGGCCTAGTACGACTGAGAGTCGTGGGATCAAAACCCATCGCCGAATATGTTCGCCCTATCAGCTTTTAGGACATTATCATGTGACGGTCAATCCCATTATTTGTTGTTAAAGAGTTGGCGGTGGGTGGTGTTGACTACCTGCCGTCCCTCTGGTCTGTCACTTTAAACTTAGGGACAGGTAGCGCGGATAGACCTCGAGTAGCATTGTGTGAAATTCAACAAACAAACAAACAATACTATACATGCTTTCAGTTTCACTCTTTTTAGGCTTTATACCTTGGGTATAATGGACCCCTAGTCACATTCATTAACATTAACTAAAACAGAAACAATACGGGAACAATGGCTGTTGATATTTATACGACGGCCTTGTAACCACTTACAAACTTTATGCAGTACCATGTATATATATATATATATATCCACTTCCTCGAGCAATACCTCACTCAAGAATTTTTATGAAAATTATAGCACAATATCCATATCCTGTTTGAACTACGTATTTTGAATTCTACTTGACATTGCCGCTCTCAGTTCTGAGTAAGTTCATCTTCTCTTGTAACACTAATTAGCTGAAATAACCTAATACATAAACAAGACCGATTTTAAAAACACATAATCAAATTTAAATATATCTTATATTATTTTAACTTGGTATTGTGTATATACATCAAACTTCAGATATTACTCGGATTCTACTATCAACTATATACCCTAATGGTACTGACTTCTGAAAAATTCTATAACAACTCCAACAACCTGTCGTCGTCAACGCTTACGTCATCTAAGTACTATATCAACAGTGACGCCTGTCGCCCAAACCTGTTGCAAACCACAATAAACGATATTAAATAAGATATATATATTGATATTACAGAACACTAAGTCATGTTTTACCACTTGTAAAAAAACTGAAATGCTTCCTCAAAACTAAAGTAAAATAAATCTTGTTATTTGAAAAGGTTTTTCGTTGTACAAAACTTGAAGATAGCTTTGATATATGGAAACATCTGTTATCTGAGTTCTTGTACAGATCTTAAAATATAACGTTCATAAACGGAAACATCGGCTCATGTAGATACGTAAATCTTGGAAGTCGAGTTGTTCAAAAC